CCAAAAATTAATTTTTCATAATTTTAATAAAATTCCAATGCTAACCCCTTACTATTTTGAATTTTCGACCAAAAATAAATTTTTCACAATTTAATAAAATTGCAAGGCTAACCCCTTACCATTTTGAAATTTCGACCAAAAATGAATTATTTCAATTTTAATAAAATTGGAAGGCTTACCCCTTACCATTTTCAATTTTGGACTGAATATCAATTTTTCGTACCTTTAATAAAATTGCAAGGCTTACCCCCTACCATTTTCAATTTTCGACCAAATATTAATTTTTCGTAATTCAAATAAAATTCCAATGCTTACCCCTTACCATTTTGAATTTTCGACCAGAAATGAATTTTTCACAATTTTAATAAAATTGCAAGACTAACCCCTTACCGTTTTCAATTTTCGACCAAAAATGAATTTTTCTTGTTTTTAATAAAATTCCAAGGCTAACCCTTTACCATTTTCACTTTTTGAACAAAAATGAATTTTTCATAATTCTAAAAATTCCAGTGCTAACCCCTTACCATTTTGAATTTTCGACCAAAAATGAATTTTTTCATAAATTTTAAATAAAAAGTGATTGAAACCAATTTTGATAAAATTTCAAGGTTAACCCCTTTAATTTTATAACAAAAATAAATTTTCCCAATTTTAACAAACTTGCACACTGAATCCCACATTTAAAATTTTCATAGAACAGTTTTCTCTTGGTTGTTATAAATACTGCAGGAAGACCCTTGGATGGGGCATTTGAGAGCGAGCTCTGAATTGTTGAAACAAAATCAAATCAAGGTCATCATCCACCATTTGCAGACAATTTTCATTTTAATGTAAATTTTTTTCTTAGTCACACTTTGGCGTGTAACTAATAAGTTTTTTTCAGTTACATGCACTGTAAAATATGAATATAAAGGAACCACTGAAAGATTAAAGTGTAGATTAAAACACATCATTAAAAGATTACTTTAAAAGTACAAAAATTCACACATACACATGCAAAAACCAGGGAAATAACCATGGACACCCTCAGAATTTGTATTTTGGAGGGGAGGACTTAACCAACGAGTTGAAAGTGGTAAGTTACTGCAATGAATGTTGAGGGGGGCTGTGTTCTCCAAATAAACATTTGCAGTACCAATATTAGTATACATGTAGAGTCCACCATCTGTTTTGGTTCCCTCTTGGGGGGGGGTAGGGTTACTATGGCGATGCCATGGTAGCAACATACATTTTACAAAAACAATAAATACACAAATTTGATTAAATATTATTCCAGTGCACATGATTTTTTTAAGTACATCTACACGAATTCCAATTCATTATTCCATTATTGCCACATACACAGACAGGAAAGACAGGGACATTGACTGCAAACTACTCCCACGAACCCCAAAATGCAATCTGTCCGACCTGCTGGACTGCTAAGACAAAGGTGATTTCATTTCTCAGGACACCCCTGCCTCCACATTCCAATGGCCTAGCCTAATTTATCTGGATCGTTAAACTATAGTTACTAACTTACTCTGAGGAAACAAGGGTGGAATTCTCTTTCCAGCTGAGCCCCAAAACCACAGAGCCTGTCCAGTGTATTGAGACAAGAAGTCATTTGAAGCCGCATGGGCCTAATATGAAGTATTTCTGCAAACCAATCTACAAACAATAGGTTTTTCTTGTCTCATGATCCATGAAATATGACAAAAAAGTTTAACTACAAATAAAAACACTAACACTTCCTGAAATACACATGTAACATCTGTTATAAGATTTCCATTTTCCAAAATGTCTATGCATATTAATTATTGGTTTACGCAGCAGCAATATCCAAAATGTTTAGATCAAATTAACTTCGTAAAAGTTAGCAACAATTACAAAGCCAAATTTTACAACCCTAAATCTACGACTTCTTCCTGGCCTTCTCCCAACTTGGGGTCGGCTAAACCTACAAGCGTCAGTTATAAATACTCCAAGATGCACTGCATAAGGCATAGGCACTTGCTACATCACAGCCCAGAGCAAGCACTGTTCCTTTCTTCAAGGTCACACTTTGGGCAGGTACTGCCTACTGGTGGTTTGCAAACCGTTCATCAGTAATAAGTAAAAAAATAATTACAAAAGGCTCAAAGTTTCCTGTAGCAACATATTACATTACAGATACTATTCCAAATACTCATAAAAATACTTCATTAAATTAACATGCATTTTGAACCTAAAACTGTTTATACTGAGGGTGTACTTTCTAGAAATTTTACTGTTTGTAAAACATATCAGTTAATGCCTGTAACAAAAGAAAAGTCTAATCATCGACTGCTGACCTAGTGCTTTCAACTTTTTAAGTCTAAATGCCTAAAAGCCTTCCTTACTGCCTCTAAAATGGTATGCTGCCCTCAGTCAGGAATAGATGCTTTCATCCTAATTGAATTTCCAAGCCATGATGAATCCTGTGATGACAATCAGAAGTGTGCTAGCAATGCAGCAAGCGGAGGCTGGTGTGGTTGGTTGGGGCTGGGGCTTTTCAGTTGTCACTGTTTGTGCAGCAAACAAAATGTGGAAACAACATCAACATAAGACACCAGATATTAGGCTCGAAATGGAGTCTACAACTTTGAGTGGATGTGTGCCAAATTGTGCAATGTCAACAGATGCCAGGCTTGTAATGGAGTCTACAACTTTGAATCTTGGGCAATGTGTCCCAAAGGAAATCATATACAAATATGCATGAATAGCAAGATGAATCTCCAAGGTCATTGTGATATTTCCTTACAAGTTGTGTTTTCAACTACTAAATCCGAATTTCACAGATCATTCCATTCACTACGTACACTTTTCTTTGTGGTGTTTGATCTTGAACTTCTGAAACCAACACTTCAATTTTGTCCAGATTTTTCATTTTCAGTTATCCCCCCATTCAAATCTTCATTTAACTTACCTCCAATAACTGTGTAAGACGTCTCCATGCCTCCCAGAATGTGATCATTGACATGACAATGTAACAACCAGCTACCAGGATTGTCAGCATGCATCTGGACTGACCCATACACACCTGAAGTCACAAGGGTTATATGAATATTCATTATAAACAAGGAATAAACATGTCCATGGCCACTGTCTTAAACCTCTGTTTAAGACAGCTCAGGAATATGGATGTTGATAATGCCAGAGCTGTACATTTAAGACTGGCCAAGCACATAGTAATACCAATTCATATATAAACTTCTGAGATACAAAGTCAAAAAAAGTTTTCAAAATTATAAATTTGCAACGATTCCCTCTATCCATTTTTGGTATGTACATGTACCTCTTGTGAGTAGCCTTAAACAATCTCCTGAGGAAATTGGCATAGCATGTTCTGCATGAGATGGCACAAAGCTAGCAGGTGCCCCATCAACCATTCAAAACAAGCCACCTGACTCTCTTGACCAATGGGAATGGGAAAACTCTTAAAAGTACTATTTAGTAAATATTTTCTTTGTTTCTGTTGAATACGTATCGTATTCCTAAGGAAAATAAGCTTATTTACATATGCATGACTGTATCTCAGAACTGTACAAATCCCATAAAACTTGCACTTAGATTTTTAACAGCATGATGAATCACTAAATAACAGTTACTTATGAAAGCATGCTATTAAATGCTGCATTGACACCTCAGAAAGAAAGACAAAACCTTATCTAAACTCAGCAGGGGTAGAATTCAAAGTTAGTTGTAGATATGAATGACTTCCAAAATCATTCATGATTGATTGAAAAGACCACACACAAGACAAAGTATCCCTGATACTGAATATTGAAGAAGGCCAACACTTCGACTTGTCAATATATGCTTGCATTTAACCTCATAAGAAAGAACATTTTCATACAAAACACCCTCAGATCATAAATCATGTCTTGCAGATTTGAGTTTATCTAGAGATCGGTTGCCTCATATCACAACATGCTTTAAGTTGTCTGAGAGTAGGTATAGTTGGTGTCTTACCAGCAAAGAGTTCAAAGACATCAATCCTGTTCACCATGGCTGTCCGGTAAGTGATCGTCTGGCCATGAAAGTGGACGGAATGGACGTCAACCTCATCCCCAAGGCCAATCAGGTACCATTCCACAGTGTCGTCCTTGGACATTTCAAGGTTACGGAGGTTGTGGTACAGCAAACCATTTATGCCTGGAGTAAAGGTTGGAAGCTACCAGCCTTAACCACTTGCTGCCAGATGGTTTGAAAAATGCAGTGCACATATTCGGGACTATTTCAAGATTTTTAGTTTTCAAAGTTCTTCGAAAATTCATCATTTCAATTAATGGATGTTTACATCTACACAAATTACTGTCTGGTGGCCACTATAGTCTGACAGACAAAATCTATTGATGCTCGAGTATTTCAGCCAGGAATGCAGCCTTGTAAAAAGAGCCCAGATTGTACGGTGTTTTTTAACTTTCTTCTATTCACAAACCTGGCACAGTGCGCTGCTGACCTATTTTTAAAAGGGGCCAGATTAGCGTGAAGCCGTGCTATGTGGCTCATCGCTGTGGTAGTGGAGCGCTTTTGTCCTCAGTGGTAATCCGCTCGCACTAAATGCCCCAAACCGTGGTATACTGTTTCAAAAAAAGGCTGGATTATCTCCACTATTGAGAGTGAAAAAATGTCAGTAATGCCCAGCAGCCTGGTCTTTTGTTCCGAGTACGGTCTTTATTACAAGGCCCAGTTCCCTTTGTCCGATTTCGGAGATCCCGGCCACGCGTATAAACACACGTGCCCAAAACCAGGCTCCCCGGCAGGAAGTGGTTAAGGAACAACCCAGTAAGCTCTGATTCAAGTTGGACTCAAGTTTTTCAGTAGGCACAGAATAAATGTTTTCGTAAATTTTACGAAAGGTACGTTTAATCAGAGCTGATAGACTCAAATGAACAGTTACTGTTTCAGATATGAAATTCTCATTTGCTTACCAAAGATTGTACAGCAACGCACAGCAGCGTAAAATGGTTAACTTTACCTTGAATAAGCGTAAAACCTCGTTATAGCATGGGCGCCATTTGGGTGTAAATACACTAAGCTAACGCAACAGGTGCAGGTACCGAGACGCCGCGCTGAGCACGCACACCTGGTATGCCTGCACCTATGCATTAACGTTCACACTGGAATGGTACCTATGGTGATAGCAACTTTTTGGCCGAGTTCTCCATCTTGCGCCGCTACGCCGCACTATAAAATCTTTGCTCCTTACCATGCATCAGGTTGCTCTCCTGAAAACCAGCATCTTCCTTGTCCACAAGATTCGGCATGCTGCAGAACTTAGCGATGTTCTCATCCAAATACCAGCTCTTGTTCTCGTCCATGACAGTAAAGAGCAGCACAAACTCCTGGTCCACATCTCGCCGGCGACCATCTTCACCGAGCGTGTCCGGACGACAGACAACCATCGGACCAACCAGGCCGGAGTTAGTATCACGCTCTTTATCAATGTTGGAGTAGTAAGCATAGACCACACAATTAGGGTCTGCTGCAGTTGGTCCAGCGCGTTCAGGAACTTTCCAGCGATAAGTCTTGTTTCCACCAGCTTGAACACCCCCTGTGGAACCAAAGAGAAACACCAATCTTTGCAACAGATGTCACCATAACGGTGGAAAATGGATAACAGCATTAATAGTAACCACAATGTCAGTGACGTCCAGTAACTTTTTACCATGCTCTATTTGCTTAATGCATACCACCCGCATCATTCTCCTGTTCATTGATTGCACATCTCACAAAGACATCACAAAAGCTGATCTGTTCTGAGTGAACACGAGTCTTTGACTAGTGTTTGTTTTTTATCTTTACGATAGAAAAACTGGATGCAAGTAATTTGGGTAGAGTAGCTTGCCCAAGGACACAGCACATGGATCTGAACTGGTCCTAGTGAACACCAGCCACAACATTTTAAATACTGAAGAACTTCTTACCTTCACTGTCCATGGAATCTTCGACCACCAGAACCCCATGCGGTTCCAAAGCGTACCGTCGACTTGCCATGTTCTTGAGAACAACTTCCACTGTCTCACCGACTTCCATGTGAAGCAATGGTCCCTGAACCCCAAGATGTGCATCAGTGCCTGTTCGATTCTTTTCCACTTTGAAGCTCTCATCTGTAAACTCTCTGAACAAGGCTTTCTTATACCTTGAACCAATGGATGTTTCTCCTTGGTTCACAAAAACATATCCCGGGCTAAAACATGGAAAATGGATAAAAGATACCCAAAGTTGGCATATGATGCAAGATATGGGGCGGAGAGACCCCCCCTTGGTGTCGATCATTGTTTGATCGGAATCTCAGGAATTCTTTTCAGACCACTAGGGGAGATGTGTTAGATAATAGTCTAGAGTTTATAGGGATTGGCCATGTGAGGGGGTACCCATCGGCCCCATAACAAGCACGGTATCAATGTTGGTGGTAAGAATTTTAAAAGATTCACTGACAGCTCACCAAGGATAATTAACCCTAACCCTCCTGAATCCTTCACCTGTTGGAGGATTGAGGAGGGTTAGGGTTAATGCATTGAAAATGAACCACCTTACAGGCTGTATTTGTGCCATCAAACAGTTTGGCATTTTCTATTGTAATTCACAACATGTTTGTTTTTCATTTCAATATCAGTGTTCTCTCCATTCAAGTTATTTCTATGCTTCAGTTATTCACTTTTTCCCAACAATTCTGCGGGAGATTGTTTGAAGGTAAGGCCTTACCTTTCTGGATCGGTCAAGTTCTGGCTTCGTATCGGATCATATTTCACCGGAACAAAGTCCCAGTATCTCTCCACAATGCCTATGTAGAATGTCCGGACAGCATTTCCAACATCTGGGGACACAGCATTCTCCTTGGGAGTTACTGTAAACGACCCCTCCATTCCTTTGACTAAGTGGGAATTGGTTTCACATTCAATGTGAAAACGTCCTACACAGAAAAGAAAACGAAGTCGATTTTCTTGTGACTTTTTCTGTACCCTCACAAACAAATATTTCCTACATTTGTTGAAACATGTTCTTTTGAAACTTTGATCTGACATATAAACAGAGTTAAGCAGCTGTAATGAATGCAACAGAAACAAACAGGACATCAGTGAGTCAAATACAGGAATGAATGATTATGTGAACACACATGTGAACAAAGGGATGAACAAACCAATATGGTCATTATTTTTCATTATTCAAATCAATCAAAAAGGCTACAAACGAAAAACAAATACATTACCAAATATGTAAATTAATCAATAAATTTCAACAAAAAAATCAACTTGATAATAAAAACCAGACAATCAGTTATAAAAAAATTGCTACATATAAAAAAAAGGACATCCAACAATGAATATCATAGAACAAAAATGGCCATCCTGATCATAAAAAGTCTCAATTATTGTCCATTATTTATGTAAGGCTATGAAATCTAAAAGTCATTCGTTACCGACAACATCTGCGTCCATGATGACTGTCTCAGATACACCAGGAAAGACTGGTACCGCCACTTTCCGAACCGAGTTGTGAGTGACCACCTGGCTCTCAAAAGCTACAGTATGCTCATCGCTGTACTTGCCGACTGCCATCACATGCCAGGAGACACGATCTCCAACAGTCATTGTTATACCAACAAGATTGTTGTAGGAGTAACCGTTAATTGCTAAACACCAGAAACAAAAAAAGAAAGGTATGATGGACGGGGTTCCCACATTTCATGGGAACAAAACTCCCTGATATTTCCCTGAGCAAAGTTAAAAATTCCAGGATCATTAATTTGCTATAGTCTGCTAGTGAACATTACAGGTGTTCATGTTACAGGTTATAAGGTTATACATGTACATGTAGGTGCCCTACAGCTACATCGATACAGAGAGATAGAGGCATTTAATTACTACGAGTACACTAAGCTGTACTACAAAGCCACTACAGCCATGTAATCATCCAGAGGATTCGCTGTTTGGTATGGACACGAGGAGATAAAGTCTGACCACTGGGCAAACAAAATTCCCTGATTTGAGGGACTTTTCTCAAATTCCGTAACTGGAAAAGAGGGAGTTAGTTTCCCGGTTTTCCCTTATTTGGAGGAAAATACGATTAGAATATGATGAAGCAGGTGCTTGTGATGGTTTGTGTCATGTTGAAGCAGGTGCTTGTGATGGTTTGTGTTATGTTGAAGCAGATGCTTGTGATGGTTTGTGTCATGTTGAAGCAGCAAATCAAACATTAATATTTGGAATACAATCATCTGCTTGTTTTCTGACCAATTTGGAAATTACTTCACGGATATTTACCCTCAGGGTAGGGTGTATGTTAAATCATATTGAAATTGGATGATTGTTAAGGTTAAGGCACAGACAAATAAAACAGTCTCAGTGATTTTAAGAAATGATGTAGAAATCTTACAAGCCATCTGATTGGACGTCACAAAAACCTCATCATTCTTGTCAACTGCTCCAGGATTGGCTGAGTATGTGGCAATGTTCTGATCAATCAACCAGCTGAGATTCTCATCAAACGTCGTAAAGAGGAGAAAGAATTCCTGATCTACTCTAAGCTGTTAAGGAAAACAATACAGTTGTCTTCAACGTAAAAAAAATGATAAACGCGGCAGAAGACTACCTTTTAAACTTGTCATTTTAAGCCAACTTTATCGTCATGTATTTGCAATTTAAGGGATATGCCCCCTCTTCAAAAAGAAACACCCTAGATGGCCCTCTACCCCAACAAATATCTCTTTCTTACGTTTTTCAAAATAAACACAACACAACAGTCTGAATCCTTTAAAAATTGGGAAATGTCACTATGATCATGATGGCAAAAAGAATTTCAAATTACGTCAGTTAAGAGCAAGACAAATGCTCAACTAACAGTGACCACTTTCTATGTGTTAAGTTTTGGTTGGGTAGATTCTATTAAAACCGATGCAAAACCAGGTACTGTATTTCAGAAGATTTGGTTTTATTCAAATGGCTAATGTGATACTTCAAAGGGAGTCTTCAGTATAGCTAGAGCTTTGGAAAAATCACATCAGATCAACTTCAAGTGACATGAGAAATAGGTTTGCAGGTTTGTTCAAGTGACAGATTTCAAATGGAGAACAGATTGACTAGTTTCTCGTGACTGACCTGTTTGCCTGTAGTAGTGTTCAGACTTCCCTTTTTGCACACCAATAACGGTCCAACCAGACCAGCGAACACATCACCCTCAGGGTCAACGGCTGATGTATAGATCCAGGTAATGCAGTCTTGATCAATGTTGGTAGGACCGACGTACTCTGGTATAGTCCATGTGTAAGTGTAGGACGATTCAGGTATGACCGTCTCATCAAAGTGATCCGCACCTGACAAGATTGGATGGGATAGTGAGTTATACAAGATAGTGAAGCTAAGGTTGGAGTGTCCTGACTGAGAAGTGAGTTTTGAGTGCTGAAGCCTGAATTTGGAGTCTTGGTAACCAAGAACCCAGCAATGCTCATTATGGCTTTAATTCACATGTAGGTATGTTAGCTAACAAATTGGAGGTGGACATGTACATGTACATCAAGTTGTTACGACACAATTATTAGAAACTGTCAGGAGAATATTGAACAGAAGCTGCTGAACCTTTTCGTCCAAAACTGTAATAAGACGGACGTTAATCTGTAAAATGTTGAAACATTAATACATCTTCAGGATAAACAAGGTAATCATATGAAATAAACACCTCTGTTTTCAGTAAGGCTGAGAAGGGTCCAAATCTTCAGTGCACTAAAGGTGGGAAACTATACAATAAACATTTATTTTTTTAAAATATTTTTTCCATGTTTAACCAACACTTTCCAAAGGCAACTGCCACTTAACTTGGATTTCATATATGCATACACGTACATACATGTAGTTCGCCATCCATGCACATGATTGACTTAATGTATAAATAAACACGTAGATCGATGCTAAGGGGTATACAAAATGACCAATTATTCTTGTTTAAAAAACTATGCCATTAAAGGACACATTTATTTGTACTGTTTAAAAATGAACGCCTGATCACATTAATCAAACGTCAAACCTTAAAAAAGGGGTTCTGTTGAAACATTTTGGCAAGTCTATAAGCATTTACTGACCCTTTGTGTAAAACGTCCCAACCTTGCTGTGGACATAACTTCAAACCCAATATTTGACTTTGTCCTACCTGATGTGCCATCGTTGTAAGCCTGGCCCTCGTTAGATTTGTTGTAGCGTACTCCATGAGGTTGTAAGCTAATGTTCTGATTGGTCAAGCTGTTCCTTAGGGTCACCCTGATCACGTCCCCTACCTCTCCCCGGATGACAGGTCCCAGAATGCCCAGGTGAGGCTCAGCGTAAGATTGAATGGTGAAAGTGTTGTCTGTGTAACCAACAAATTTCGCTTTTCTATATTTCCCACCGATTCGATTGTCTTCCTTCGTGAAGAAAGGGTAGGAATGGCTACATGATAAAACAAATAAAATCAATGGTATGAGGAAAGCAATTGTGGTCAAAGTCAACTTGTTCTATTTCCAAAACATACAGGCACAGCTCCTTTTCAAGTTATCATGGGACTTGTTACTTCAACCTCAATCCCAACCCTGTTGAAATGCAACACAAAGCAACAGCGGTCATTTGGGAGAACAATACACATCAACATACAGAGTCTAATGTATAAGACTCTGTGTAACTTGGAACTTGATGTATCTGGAGCACCAAAAAGTGCCACAAAATTCATGGTTGCATTCTGTTAGATTCAGATGAACATTTCAGCCATGTTGCATTTTGTTCCATTAAAGCAAGGTTCTCATTTTAGCTGTGTTCTATTCCATTGCACTCAGCAGGTTGCCTAGAGAACATGAGAGACAGGATTAATGAATACACCTGCATTCATTGGTAGAGATACCTTGAACTATCATTGAAGCTGGTTCCATCACTGTGTGTTCTGTTAGGTGCATAGTCCCATTCAATCTCTTCAGCTGCTATAAAGTATTCACGCTGACCTGATGGCATCTCAGCTTCTCCTGGTGTCCCGCAAGATTCTGACACAGTGTATAAAGCCTGTGCGCCATCTACAAATGAGATTAAGAAAAATAACAGACTTGTTTCCTAAAAGAGTTCTGTGGAGCTTCTGCAAGGTCTGTAAAAAACACTCAGGCAGGAGGCTCAGCGAGTAATGGATCAAAAGCTACCTTTTCTGAATAATTCCAATTGTTTATGTTACTATTTAGTGATAGCTGGTTCAATATGTGGTTGATATTGTATACATCAATGATTCCATAAACAAACTTTATTGTACTTTTTACTACACCAACTGGTATACTGTAATTTGTCATTTCACCTGACACATGAGAGGTTAAGTCAATAAAAATCAATTAGATATTCAACTACTCACACATTTCCACTTTTGTTAAAACCAATTAAATAAAAGAATCAATAATTTGGGTTATCTTCAAGGATTTTGATGTGACATGGTTTTTCAATTTAAGTTCAGAAAAGTGTTTTATTTCCGTCTAAGACAGAAGTTGTTGACACATATGTGAAGTGTAAAAATAGCACAAAAAACAAAGTTGGGACAACGCTGTTGGCAAAAAGAATTAGATCTATAGCAAAACCCCAGATTTCCCAAACACTCACCCTTGAAATGAGTGGTCGAGGCAGAGGTGACTAGCCAAGTTCCTGGATTCTTAGCCTCCATCATGGCACTCATCAAAACAGCTGGAGAAAGACTAAGAGAGTCCCGACGACGCCTTTGAAACGTCTAACAAGGAAATTGAATTAAAAATGGAAACATCAGCTGAGATTGTTCCAAGATCAATATTTGGCTATAAAAAACTTGCGTTTTAGTTTGACAGGAAAGGAGAACATCCTTGCCATCAGTACTATACTAATGTAAGCTCAGTACTGGTCTTGAGGTAGATTTGAACATACCAACAGGTTGCCATGGAAATAGATGGTGTGAATATCAGCCTCAGTCCCAAATGCCATAATATGCCAGTCAACCTTGTCTCCAACGCAGACCTCCAAGCCTGGCAGGTTGCCATAGAGATAACCGTTGATGCCATCCATTTTGTTACTACGGATAAAGTCGTCACTTTCTGAAAAGGCCAATTGAACAGTCTGCGTCATTCATGATCTTTAATCAAATTGACAACGTAAATTCTCAGGGGTAAGAAAGACCACAGGCTAGGACTGAGTTGTGGAGACCCCCTAGGGCCAATCAAATGAAAATTGAAAATGGACAAGAGTTTGAAGATTGCACAATTTTTTATTAATTCTTACACTGCATTCAATAATCAATGATTGACATTAATCAATGGTTGATACTTATTGAAAGTCAGTGGACAGATACAGCAAACAATGAACCAAAGTAAATGAAAATAAATGAAGGAACACAAGATATAGTACTCAAAGCATACAGTTCTTGTTTGCCTTCAAAGAGAACCACAGTTTGACTAAAGCTATCAACCTTCTTTTATGATTCGTTTATTGAAAATCCTCCATATTACTTGTTTCAATCTATTACTAAAACCAAGAACTCAGCCCAAGACCCCTTCATTATTAACCAGTTTAGCCCGCAACATTTTGTTTACCCTGATCAAAATCTGTCCTGCCGATGTAGGTTTCCACATTCTCATTTAAGAGGTAACTTAGGTTCTCATCCATGATGGCGAACATCAGCAGAAATTCCTTATCAACGTCTTTTCTTCGCCCTTGCTCATCCAGGATCCCTAGCAAATCAGACCGGAGATAATTCCAACCACTAAGGTATTATCTTGAGATAATTCCAACCACTAAGGCATTATCCTGAGATAATTCCAACCACACAGGTATTATCTTGAAATGAATACTTGAAATAAAGGAAATATAACTATTCATCAAGTCATATGAAAAAATAGAAAAATCACCGGCAGAGGAAATAAGGATAAATTTTCCTCAATTTAAGGAGATCAACATAGAGGGTGTTGTGTAAGCTACAGTACAAGTTATGGAAAAAACTTGAACTGTTTACACAGTGATCACAAGTCATTGATAAGATTGGCAACGCAAGAATGATCTTCAGTCAGAAACTGAGTATTTAAAGCTATCTTAATACAAACCACACCAATCAATCCAAACACATCTAACAAACAATGGCCAGCCAGTTTATTCATAACAATGAATATGGTGAACAAAACCTGATAACAAAAGCCAACCTTCTTTACAGATGACAAGTGCCCCGATAAGGCCTGTGTTGGTACCCTCTGGGGTGGAGATGTGGGTGTGATATGGCCAAGGCCTACAATTCTCATCATTGTCAGCAGGTCCAGCAGCTTGTGTGGCCTTCCATTTGAAGCGGTGTTCCCCACCAGGTTTAATATTCTCATCGGCTTTGTCTTTTCCTGACGTCTTGTCTTCATAGACTGCACCTACAATTCAGTCAAATTCCACTTAAAAATTCAAATTGAAGTGACTTTAAGCTTTAAGAAAGATTCTTACCCTTTTAAAAATTAACAGATACATAGCTTTTCTTTCAGTAGCTAAGATTGTTGACAATTTTACATCTCATTCACCAACTCTGAAGAATTTTTATTTTTGTAATTTGATTTAATACAGTTCTACGTAAACTAAATCTGTGGCTTAAAATTACTGCCCTAGGGAAAAACCCCATGAAGTGGGAATGATAGCCAAACCAAATAACGGTCTGTCCCATAACTTGTCCATGTCAAGTTGCTTTAAATCTTTTGGATATTTCCTTGAATACAAAGATACATGTACATGTCTTTTTTTGCGTTTGGGTGAAAGTTGTCCTGCACAGTCTAGTCACAGTCCAATGCAACAGCTTCAAAACATTTCCTCTTGGGTTTTCCCCAAAATGTTGGCTGACCTAAACCCCAAATTTCCTTCTTCCTGTCAAACAAGAGGATCGTGAAAACATTGTGTTTGTGCAGGAGACCAGAAGGCTCTGTTTTTGTCTTATACTTTGTCTGGGAGTGGCCGGGGTTGAGGGGACGGGGAAAGAGACAAGACAACTAACTCAACATGAGCATGTTCACCAAATGACTTGGAAACATCCACCTTATTCCCAACTCAATTTTTTCAAAAGATATTTTTAGAGCAAGAGGCTGGAATTTCAATCAAATGAATGTTAAATGGTGACGGAATTTATACTTTTGCAACCAGCAGTACTACACAACATTGACAACATTCAAAACCAGGCTACAACCAGACAACTTCACCGAGTTTTACAATGTAGTCAAATCCCAAGTGTTTCCAAAACTTTCCTTATATCTTACCCTCAGAATCCTTTTCATATTTCATGCCATGAGGGTGCACTGTATACGGCCGACTGGCCATATTCTTGAAGTGGACAAAGATGGTATCGCCAACCTCTGCATAGAGCAAAGGGCCCAGAAATCCTAGCCATTCTGGCTTAGGAATCTCCTGAGTGTAGGTGTCATCTGTGTACTGCTTGTAGACTGCTTTTTTGTATTTCCGTCCGATGCGATAAGTGCCGTTCAGAAGGAAGTCTGCCTCATAGCTGCATGAATTAATGCATATAAAAACAAAATCACTATACATGTACAGGTATATGACACAGGCTACACACTCAAGGTCGGAGGTTATTCCATTTACTGCACTCACATCTGAGGAAGGAAGTCTGCCTCATAGCTGCATGAATTAATGCATATAAAAACAAAATCACTATACATGTACAGGTATATGACACAGGCTACACACTCAAGGTCGGAGGTTATTCCATTTACTGCACTCACATCTGAGCAAAGGGGCTGTTCTGCCCAGGAACTGAATATCAAGCAGGTTGTTGTGGGTGCCTCTCACTAACTTTCGCATTCAACTGTTCTTCTTATTAGCGCCTGTCAAATGAAGCCTTTCATTTTTCTTTTCTTTGCATTTTGCCGGTTTACCTGTTTAGGTTGCACGCTGTTCACGTGCAGTCTCTCTGCAACAGTCTTAATGATGTTTGTACATTGCAAATGTAGTCAAAGCTTCATGATTTTCTGATATAATTATATTTATATGATATATAATTCGAATGACAGTGGTGTATTTTTAAGTATCTGTGCTTATTACAGTGTGTTTAGAAGTATATCTAATCTGAAAGTTCCTTTGAAAGTGGTACTTTTTGCTGTCACTTTTGTATTGTTAATTACGGAGGTTGATTTTATGTCAGAGTTTTTGTCCAGAAATGCACAGTTTATTTTTTATCTCTGACTGTAAGGGTCACTTTATGACTATTTTCTTTAGCTGAATCCAACGTTGGGGTGAAATGTTGTACGTTTATTTCTGTGTCCGTATTAGTTTGATTCATATTATTAGAAACTAAATCATTTAACTTCAGTTTAACCTTAATTTAAACTATCGATGGCTTTACAAAGCCACAATTAGATTCACTGTTGATTTATACTGTTACTTAATGTTCTTCTTCTTTCTAATTTGATTCTTTTCGGAATTAAATAAAAGACGATTATATCAATACTTTAATTCCGAATCCACCTCCGACCTCTCCAGGGGCAACTCTCCATTTACTGTGTACAGAAACTTGTATGTTTTCCTCCTTTTTGGCTGCAACATGATCAAAATAACTGAAACCTTTCCAGTAGTGTGGGAGATAATCATAGCACATACATGTAAATAGTGACATTTCAGGCACATTTCATATAATGGTAAAGAGTTTAGTCAATAATTCATATTTTCCCCAAAGACCACAACACGAGTTTTGCCCCTTTGAGTTTCAAGTGAAATATGGAATAGCCACCAACAGACCAATCAGAGAGAAAAGGCAAGAATCAGTGACGTCATCCCGACAGCGAGAATGTACACATGGCCCCAACAATACATCATACATGTACTGCACATGCATGTTTTCCCAAATTTTCTCTAAAATTACAAGTTAGGTTGAAGTGTAGCCTTTTCCAGGTGAAGTTTTGGGACTCTGATGTCATGGATGTTATTCATACGCGATGCACATTTCAGAACCTTCACTCTTACTGCATGTAGGCCCTGGTTAATACACATGATACTTGATAGGCCCATGGAGCTCTATGATAGGCCTAGGCCTACCATAGAGCTACGGGCATACGTACATCAAACACGTACGTGTACGCCTGAAATTACATGAATTAAAGCTTGCAAAGATTCAAATAAATCATGTATTCTCATCATTCCTGCCGTGGCTGACAGGATGCAACAGTGTTCCCAACGTGGATACTTGGACATGAAGGGGCACTGCACATCATAAAATGAACTTACTACTGTAGTGTACTACTGCCTCCGGAAAATAACGTTTTTAATGGCAAAATCTCTGGTCACCACTTGTCAGTGCTGCGCTGGTGACCACCTTCCACGCTGTCCAATTTCGTTTTCATATAACGCCACCAAGAGTCTCACTATGAGCGCCATCAAGTACAGGTACAGGGTTACTTTTTTAAAAGCTTTTTTCGAAGTTCATTTTATGAAATTCAAAATAAACTTGGTTTCTTTCGAGATACATTTTTCTAAGAATCGTTTTTATGACACATCAGGTTCGTTTTATGGCATTATGTCTACGTTTGCAAATAAAGGTTTTTATGAAATTATATTTTATGATCAATTTTTTTTCATGAAACATTTTTCCCAAGTTAATTTTCAAAAGATGTATGTTCCCAAGTTAGAGTTTATATCTCATGAAAACGAACTTGAAAAACATATCACAAAAACCAACTCGACGAACACCATCCGAAAGAGGGATGGCTTGGACTTTCACGTACTTGAACTAAATCATGATCGCATCACTGGTTATCAACAGTCGATATCATTTATGAATGCTGGAGGACATCATAATTCACAAGAACAAAAGAAAAAAATTGTCTGAGATGCTAATGACTAAGTACACAAACGCTGCGAGAGCCTCAGTCATCGGCGATATTAATTTGACGATGAGAATTTGGGACAACATAACTCGCCAAAGGACTTCGAAGGTACCTTTCTTCCGCGTGCAAGCAATAGGGGCGATTCAAAATAGTGCGCCTCCAAGAGTTTGCAACGCATTGGCCAATTACTATGGGCCAAATCTGTCGACCCTTTCCAAACGTACACTGGGTCGACAGATTTTACATATAAAAATACATGTACGGGTCGATTTATAGTTGGCTGTCGAATTTGCATATTATCATGTATACGCAATCAAGCGCACAAGTCCGTGACCACCGTCTCTACAAACACTTAATATTACCGGTTAGGCCCCACTATTTCGCTTCTTTCACAGCTGATCTCACTCACAACATTTAAGAGCATAAAGAGTTCGACCAAACTGATGCAATAACTTGAACTCTGTGGTTGCAGTAGGCCTATTTGCAGAATAATCAAATTAGAGGCACAGGAAGTGTACAACCATAACGAGCTCACATTTTAAACAGTGAAATCCATACCGTCTACCAGCAGTCACGCTTGAGGAAATTGCTGCGGCATGTTTTTATGGCAAGGAGGCGCTGTAATTTCGGGGTGACTACTGGCCCCGTCTGAATTACAAGAAGCCAATTAAATTAGAAATGGGAACAGCAATTTTACTGAAAAACGTTTCCCATGTTCATAATATATACCTTTTTATTTCTCTCTTTTGTTCCATTTGTGGTAACAAATAAACTTGTTTTCGACTGGCCATTCAGGCTGAGCTATATCCCCCCTCAAAAAAAACTTAAGCACGCCTCTGTCCTTCGGCACGCACGGTTACGGTTCCAATTCAGTCACAGAGGCGCCTCGCTACAAAATTGTGGAATACCTGAGTGCGCGCGCCAAGGTAACATTCCCCGACGCCATAGGACCAGAAACCCAACTGTTTTGTCGTAAATAATTTTCCATTCGCTCGAAAGTTATTATGCTGTTTTTTTCTAAAAAGCCATAGCTACTTCCCCACAAAAGACACCTGGCACATATTGTGACTCAAAGGAGGCGCCCAGATACCGAAAATAAGGCTTCCATAATAGGATTGTGAACAACTGAACAAAACTGGAGCTCACTTTTGATCGACTGTCGCGGGCTGCCGAAACCGATTACCGTCAAATCGATTCATAATAGCACACCTCCAAGAGGTTGCAACGCGTTGACCAATCACAGTGCACGAAATCTGTCGACCCAATGCGCGTTTGAAAAGGGTCGACAGTTTTCCCGTTTTGTAATTGGCCAACGCGTTGCAAACTCTTGGAGGCGCGCTATTGTGAATCGCCGATGGGTACAGTCCACTAATTCAAGCCCCATTGGAACTTTGTAAAATCAGCATTGTTCAGGGCCCAATAATGCATACCAACATCCCTGAGATTTCAGAAACACAAGTGAAATAATTGTCTAGTCCCTAATCTTTCAATTTCTTTTCAATTTTTTTGTGGGTTAACCAATTACATTTTTAATTATTCCCACAAAACAAAATCACTAACCGAAAAGAGATTTTTCCGAAGTCCGATTGCAGCCATTTTTCAAGTGGCAACCCTCAACTTTCCCGGGCACTTACGACCATTTTTCAACAGTAGTTTTTAGCCATTCTGCTCTCATATGAAAGCTCATAAGACCCAGGGAGTTCATCCTGGCAACGATTTACACAATCTCACTATTTTGGGGGATAAACAATCTCCTTTTTCAAAAGATACTGTGGGGGCACTTTTAATGCTGACGAGCTGGCCAGGAATTCTCACTTGAATTAGTGGTCTGTACCCAGATATTGTTGACCCAAAATAGGCCAATGTTATTAATTACCCTAGTGGCCTGTTGCCTTGAAAGTGCCAACGCTTCATGAACGGTCACTTTCCGGGGATTCTTCAACAATGAAAAAGTCGATAATCGATAATCAATAAGAAAACTTTCCTTTCCCCAACCAAATCCTGCATACACCACTGGTCACACTATCCCGTCATTGTCACATTTTCCCGTCTTTCCATGTGTTTCCAGTCACGTTCGCATTATCCAGTATGTTTCTTCTCCTGCTTTTCCATGATGGGTTAGTTCCTTTTCCACATGGCATTTACACGCGTCTTCAACCACGATTCAACCACGTGCAAGTACACGTGTGAACACAGCATCTTTGACTAGGTTATCTTGAATAGGTAGATTACCATCACAACGCGTGACTTCGTAGGTCCAGCACGATTGTGACATCACAGGAAAACGGTCTATATCCTCCGTGCTTTCTGCATAATTACTTTTATATTTCATTTCTTTATACTTATTTAAAGCTATATTTCTCATCAGTTTGATAGAATGGAGAGCAATAACCCTTTGAACTGAATTCCTCCTGCCTGCTTATCAAATTAATGTTCAGTTACCGGGAGCCAGGAAATCTGCTGCTGCCCTTTCGAATGTTACTGAGTTTCGATTACCGTTTCCGGACTGTGACACTCTGCACGTATACATTATCTCTCCTTGACCTCTGTTTCATAAGTTGTGGCTTGGCGGTTACCGCAGCAACCCAATATTAAGTATCACACTATGTGTTGACTTAGAGTTACGTACATGCCTATTGTCATGTTCCTTGAAAAAGACCCATTGGTATCAATGATTACCAAATTGTGAACAGTTTTAACCATGCACTCGGTCCAAATGCTGTATCCAGGTTTTAGTTTCTAGAAAGTTTTAACAACTTAGCGCCGGTTGACCCAATCTGGGCCACATTTTTTTATACAATCAAACTTGAAAATGCCAACGTGCGGCCGGGGGCAGCTTGGCCCCCGCCCCTTGCTGGACATACGCCACTGCCCAGCTAGCTCCTCAATAATTTGAAGGCTTTTAAACTAGACCTGGATTTATTTTATTCCAAAATCGGCATTTTGGAATCGGAAATAAGTTTTAAAGTGTGAATCATGACTATCGAAATCTTAGCGACTGAAATCTTTGGCTATTGTCCTCATTCAACGTCACGCACAAAACACCAAAATAGACAACAGGCAGAACCACCTTCCAAAAATCCCAAAGACGAACAGTCTTTCCATTCCTAGCAGGCAAAGGCCCCGAATCACTAATAAATATTCCCCCTTGAGTTACATGTCACATCATTATTTAAAGACGGCTGATATAAATCTACACCCGGCCAAAGGTTGTTCAATCCTGTACAGGAACGACCATCCATGGCTTTTGGAAAAAAATTTCCACCCGCAGTTGTTCCATTTTAAACCTCTTGTGTTCGTATAATTAACTGGCAACTGGCAAGAAACCTTTGTTCCTGTTGTTATTAGGGAAAATTGCGACAGTGGGAGACTTAATGGAGTATGACAGGGACTGAACAAATTTGACGACATACACGGCAATGACCATTTTTTGTCAATGAAAAGTGCATGCTATTCTGTAACAAAACTCACAGACCCTATCCTTTGAATCATATAACAAACCTTTTCAGCCATTAATCACTATTAAAACACAAGTTACATCTCCAAATCGCTTCCATTAAAACAAAGGCTTACCACGCACCTACTCTGCATGAGTGAGTAAGGTTTGGGAGATTCGATGGCGTTTATTCCTGCCATGTTTACTTGCTAAGCTCTCTGGCCCACAGCTTTTATAGTTAAACTGAGCATACATACCACTATAAATAGTTCAAGGTCGCAATCCCAATGCCATCCTAACCAAATAAATGCGAGTCTTTTTCTTCCTCTTTGCACCATTCCTGCCGTTTCTCAAATGTTACTTTCTCTAACCACAGTTCCTCATCATGATCATAAATCTTATAAACCAACTTTGCTCCCAGGTCGTACTTTGATTAGAAAGGGCCAGTTTATGAGGGAAAAGGACGCGGGCAAGCACTGAAAAACAATGAGGAAAAGTGGAAAAAGAAATTAACAGAGGAGCTGAGAGGAGAGAAAACCAACAAACAAATGCAGAAATGTAATACATGTACATCAAGCAGCAATTTAATCACCCCGCCCCCCACATATTACATAAAACCCGTTATCAATGTTTCACTCAACTCCACTGCTCTTGCCGGATGCGTGACCGATTTTACTGATGGACGAAGTTGGCCACGCCAAAAGTTAACTCTGGAAAATCTTGTGTAAAAGCCGAGATAAGAAAACTATAATTTCGACCAGAATAGCGAACAGCTACAGTGGAGGGGGACCAGGGTAAATGGCAGATCGAACGGCTGAAGAGTTTATGAGCCAAAATGGGATGCTGACAGAAAAAGAACGGTAAATGGAAAATTCATGCAAACTTCAGACGGTGAAAACTGATCATCACTTCAGATCGATGACAAAAGGATTGTTGAATACATTAATAGAAAGTAAAACCCAAAATGAGGTTATACTTTTATTGTCCTGATACGATGTCATTATTCATAACCTAATTTAGTAATTTGTAACATAAACAGGTGTAACACTAAAAGCCACACAAGACCTAGGCAATCCACCTGCTTTATGAAGGTAGACTTCATTAATTCAAAGAGTGATATCGTGGGATTGAAGTGTTTCGCCAAGCTTACCTTCCTTGCTGTATGTCCGTATCCTTGATGAGATTTCTCCCTGAAGGGGCATAGTCCCATTCGATCTCCACAGCAGCTACGAAATATTCACGCAACTGGTTATTACCCAACCCTCCTTGTGCAGACACGATCACACCGCTAACGATTAACAGCAGGCCCGCAATCACAGCCCTGATGGTGTGCAAACGCTGCATGCTGTCTGATGATCAAACTTCAGAGACTGACAGACAGAGACTGATACAAAACAAAAATCCTTGATACAGCAGGGTCAAATTCTCGTTGCAACCCTTGCTAGAAATCGTGTAGGGCTAGATCCTTGCTCGATGAGACAGTGTCAACAGAGCAGTGTACGCTGCACACGGTTGCAAAGTGCAAGTGCGATTGATTTAAAAAAATACACTCAGCTACAGGCTAGGCTACAAGTTCGACAAGGCTTACACCACCCATGCGCCAGCTCACATGAACAATTGGCTGTTCAGCGCTGTACTGTCAAGCTTACCTCTGGCGATTACATTACGCAAATACACAATCAGCGCTTGCGCGTGAGGTCAGATCAGAGACGGGGTGAGGCTTGGAGTACGAAGGGCCGGGGCTGAGTCGCGGACTAACTTAGCAGCTAGCTACATACTGAGGATCAAGAGGGCTCTAGGGCACCCGTCAACGGGCAATCAAAATAGCGGATTTTTATGTTTGAACGGTTTTGCTGTCTGTCCCATGGAGGACTGGAAACAGACAAGAAGAAATTTGGGTCAAGGCCCCTGTTGATGTCGCGTTTGGTGCTTACAATGTGTTAAGCATGTGTGACGGTTTCATAACGATCGAAACTTTGCAGCCGCTTACAGATTGAGTCAAAATTGTTCCTGCATTCCCGAAGCCTTGTTATGACCTTTCCAGTGAAACACTGAACAAAACACAATTATGAAAGAAACCAATAGCAACTTATTTCTGGGTCATATTGCATCTGTAAGCTAAATGGTGTGTCTGGAAGCTATATGGGAGTGATGTATCAGGCTCAGTATTTATATTTTCAACTAGCCGTTTACGGGAATACGATGTATAATAAGCCTATATAAGTAATCTTTGGGAGGACTTCTATGACTTTGGACGAAGAGATTTTAAAGTTTTGACGTGATAATGTAATTATGCTTTGAATCAATATGTACCCTCTCATGACCAGACGGTTGCTCCTCAAAGTGAGACAGTACAGTAACTTTTCGGGATCCTAGTAGTTGACAGCTTGTAAGGTAATTTATCAGTGAGCTTATCACCGTACTTCATCTCGCGGAGTGGTCCGTGGACCCAACATATGGACGCGTATGTCCCCTCCTTCCTCCATGGGGTGCCCAACTCGGGGGAGTTCTGCTGGGCAAAGGAACGTGAGCAATGGAGCCTTAATTGCGTATTACTGTGGATGAGCTGCGTTTTTAATTCGATACATAGATGCGAAATTCTGTTCTTGATAACACGGCCGACCCTGACCTCTGGTCTCGCTATGCTTCAGAAATGTTTATAAAGACTTGCACAGTTGCAGCAACAAATTATTACCCAACTCTTGAAGGTCAAGAGACAATTCCTCCTGGGGTATCCAGGCTCATCTCGAGGGAAGGGGGGGCAAGAGTTCCATGGGGGTGGGGACAGTGCCCCCACTGCCCATCCCTCATCCCCGCAATGCCTCTGTTCCACTGAGTGTCATGGCTTGTCTGAAAACCTCCCTGACAAATAATCGTCCATATTTCTTCACGGACTTCAAAATTTCTTTTAAAACCCATTTGTTCAAGGATTGTTATATTCTTTCTAGTTAACTTTACTTGATTTATGCGCCATGAGCGTCATTTTTAGCCGAAACCGGCGCGTAATAAATTTTCTGTTTTGTTATTTATTAGAATTACATTAGCTATTCCTGGCTAATTGAGATGGCGCTCTGACGGAGGTGCAGGCCTGACATGAAACGGGCTACCGACTGAAGGGCCAACATGGGAGCTCTTACAGTATGTTGTTATTTCTGATTAATTCCCACTTTTCAATACGGCATGGACAAAAATAATCAACACATGGGCATCATCGATAAGATATAATTTGATCAACTTTCACAAAAATAGACCGAATTATGCAGCTCATAAAACACATTTCGAAAGGAATTGGAAAACTGCACAAAATGACAGACCCTCACAGTTATTTACGATACAAATTCAAGTTGTCTTCAGCAGAAGCCCTGTGTGATTAATACAAGAAAAAGGAATGCAACAGCGAACAGTTTGGAACCAGTTTCCTACATTATAAGGTCGCTCTTTTGCCTTGTAAAACTTCCTTTCAACCAACACATTTTGCTCATCAAATTTCAGACAGACCATAGTAGTTTGCCCTTTTACAACAGCTTGACATTTGATCCCCGCAACGAGCCGTTCATCACGTCCATATAATTCCTCCCCAGTGAACTTTGTACCAAGGTTACTGAACTCATTATTCAGTCTACAGCTTCGTACAGCGAGGAATGCAGGTCACGTGTACGGGACTTCCCCTGTCCTGCACCTTACGGACAGGAGTTTCCAGCATCCCGGATGGAATGAAGTGAAGATAAAAGATGTGGGTCAGTAACATCTTCCAACCAGTCAAGAGTGACATTCCCCTGAAGCGACATAAAGAAATCCGACATACTGAAAGGAAAATAGCTATATTTTAAAGTATTTATTTCCCAATGATATTTAGGTAAAGCAACAACATTAAAAGGCATACACATAAATGCAATCTTAATTGCCCTTCGTATACAGATCTCATATGACAACACGGGAGGATTAAAACCAATTATGGTATAAAACTATATTGAAAGGCAAAATCATAAAGTCTGGTCCGATATACATGTATATTGAACAGACTGATTGCGCCCGCTGAGTCACGTGACCTATAGTGGGAAATCTCGTTACAGCGCCCTCCCCGAATTTTTGCGAGTTGACATTTCGTGAAGCTTGGGTCAGTTATCAGTCTCTCTTACATAAATCTTGGAAGGAAATCTTGAATTTCTAAGCCACCCACCTTTTTTTTCTTATTTTACTAATGTTTTCAAGGTTCAAGCAGATGAACAGAGCTTGCCAGCAGAGTAAATGGCGATACGTTACCGCGACCGTGACATACAACTTGAAATTGAACATTTCCCCCAACCGGAACTTGAATTTGGAAAATAAAAATCGTCATCGATTGCACTCTTTCAAAGGCCGCCTACAACCTTACAGTGGTGTCATGGCTTCCCTTGTAGGCAGAACACGTTTTCTTGTTGGCCCAGATATTTTTCCTCTTCTGCGCTGCGTATATGCGTTGACGTCAGAATCGACCAGCTCTCTCTGGCCAATAAGGGGATGCCTTTTCCTCCACACATGCGTAGAGACGAACAAAATGGCGGCGAGGAGGAAGAGGACAGCTGTGATGTGCAGAGTGATGGTGAAACTGCCTGTTAGATCTTTACTTATACCTATAAAGACAAAAATGGGAATGGTGAAACTCATCATTTGTTCTTTTTAACTAGGGCCTACATAAAGATATTACCAAAATTGCTCAGAATGGACTAGTCCGTCAGGACCCTATACAGCCGCATGCATAGGTACTATTACGGTAGACCTTTGTAGTCAGGGCCCTGGGGACGTGCTTGGGCCTGATTTTATACAAACAACTCAAGGAAAGTGACTGTATCCACTGCCATGATACACTCGTGTGTCATTACAAGACGAGGCTAAGTAACTGGGATACCGCCAGACATCAGTCTAAAGTGCATTCTGGCTCTCTCTTATCTTTCGGCTCCCTTTGTGGCCACTGAATCCTTATTTTGCCGATGTAGACGTTTAATCTGTCCCCGGTAAAATTGTCTGGGGGGACAGAATTACCTAGGTAAAGGCCCCCACCCGGTAAATCTGTTCCCCCCCTCCAAGTTATTCTGTCCCCTCCAGGTAATTTTGTCCCCCGTAGTTTTGCCTCGTAGAATGTTTTTTCGCGTTAGATTGATGAATTAAGTCCACGTGAAATGAAGGTACATTTTTTTTTTAAATTTTAACCCTTCATCAAGCTCTCAAAATGGGGGGGGGGTATGAGATATATATTAAAAAACTAAAAACTGGGAAGCCCCCAAACCTAAGGCAACGCTCTCTTTATTGCACTGACCCTATTTTTTTTTAAAATTTCGAGTTGTAAATTGGGAGAAATAATGTGGCTGTCTTACCGATAAATCAGCCACTGTGTCCACCACGTGTCATATGTTAAAATGCTCACAGCTTCCCCTCATAATTTCCCTCAAAACCGTGCCCTCTTTTTACAACATCAACCCCACAGTTATTTAGCATGATGTAATAGCCATCTACCAAAGTGAATCCAAAGGTTAATTTAAAACACAGGTTTCCTTTCTATTAATTGGAACGAGGTCCTCAAATATACAATCCCCATTCAGACAGTTACAACTTACGCGAGCACGACTCGGTCGCCATGGACACTCACGTTCACGATAGCCCTCCTCATCTAATCAAAGGCGTTTTGACATAACGAGCTTTTCAGGAAAAATCATGGTGACCGTCTAAACGTTGCAACAAAACAGTTGAAATAAACGGATACACAATCTGGGTGATAGACTTGTGACGTTGCATGGTGACACATTTCTCAGGGGGACAAAGTTACCGTTGGGAAAGGGGACAACTTGAAGTTGGCAGGGAGACACATTTACCAGGAAGGACAATTTTACCTTTTACACCGGCATTAAAATTTTCTTAGTGAGCTCACCACTCTTAGTATCATTGTTTCAATTGGACACTGTCACTGGAACAAACTCCAAGATCTTACCGAGAGTGGATCCTAAGGCACCTGCTGTCCCGTAAGAAACTAACAGCGAGGAGTAGGCTTCTACCGCACGCTCCACACCAAAGGTATCCACGGTGGCGCCGAAGGTGATCGAGAAAATCACTCCCCTTACGAAACCCACAACTGAAGAGTGAATAAATTGTAATTATTAGTATTTCATGAGTTCAAGTAGTTGTTTATGTTAAGAAAAGTGGTAGAATCAGCGCCAAAAAGGGGGTAGCCGATTCACTGTTGACAAGCCAGATTGACCACAACTCCGGCGTTTATTCAACTTAATGTTTAAATTTCCCTTTATTAGAACGAGCATTTTTCTTCACATTCTCTAGAATTCCAAGTAGCTCTGCTGTTGGGTATGAAAGAGTTTTGCTTGCAGGATTCCACCTGCCTGCTTCCCAAAACAAAACCATGTTTGAACACAGAGACGAAAAGGAAGCAAAAACTCCGCTCACTTATCACGTAAATGGTGACCACAGCGAATGTAGGCACAATCAAAAGTCCGTATGTGGCAGCCGCTCCATGACACACACCGTGGCCAAGACAATATTCTGACTGATCGCACCTCGGTTGCCGTAGACGAAGAAGACCAGCATACGGGAGGCCAGCTCCATCCCCGACAGCACAATCACAAGAGCAGACGCTTTATGCTCGGAGATACCAACCGTGCTGGCAAAGCTCACCTTTCGAAGAACAAGAATTATGTGATAGAGAATAATCTAATCACACTCTCGTAAGTACAAGAGGGAGAGAGAAAAACTCATGTACTCCTGCTGAGAAAAATGACTACAGTTATCGATAACTTGACCAATGAATGATGGATAGTTAGCCATTTTGAAAGCCAGGCTCTGGGACATGGTTGGATTGCTTCTTATCATCACCCCTTTTCGTAACTAACCAGAAAATGAACTATCGACCTGAAAATGACCGCTTGCAATGGCAGACTATGAACAAAAGAAGAGGGCCACGGCAAAAATGTGGGTGACCACTGGATTTCTCGTTACATTGTTAGCCTATGAACCTCAGTATTGCGCGTGCGCCTTGATACACGGAGGAATGAGCCAGTTCTGTATTTCAACAGCGCATGCCCAAAATGAAGCGCATAAGAGGTCATTCGGACGCGTGTACGAGGTCTAGCCAATCGTGGCGGCCCTACGCTGAATCACAGGAGGGCTGTATTCCCTAATGACCTTGCTTTTTTTTAAATATCAGTGTGGCTCATTGACCAGTGTTTGAACTACGGTCACTGCTTGAACTTGTCCAAGATTGCAACTTATATTTGACACTTACAAAGTGGATGACGCTGAAGAGAACTGCCGATGTGGATGTAATGATGGCGGGAAAAAACAGCCAGTGACCAGGAAGACGAAGCAGTCTGACATACCTCAGACAGAACGAGGGATCTGCTCTATTGGGATTATTGGTGGCGCCCTTTTTATTGACCGGAACTGTTTCCAGTCTTGGTAGTAGTGCGTCACTAGTCTCGTGAAGAGTATATGGGACAAACGTCCCAGCGCTGACATCGATTTTACCCACGAAGTCTCCTGTTTGGGTCTGTTGCTGCTGTTGGGGTAAGGGTCCAACCTGCTGATTGTCTGGCTTATCTAAGGAAGAGCTGGGATTGAGTTCATTTTTAACCTTGTTACTCAAGCGACAGCTTCGATCAACTCTTCCCAAATCTATCGATGGCTGAGAGGGAGAGAAGCTACTTTTGGAAGATTCCCGATTAGAATGGTCAAATTCGTCTCCAACGTGAGACGGGATGGGTTGATAGGCCTTTTCCCCCCGCCCTCCCTTCGTCACTAATTTGAAATCCACAGTCTTGTCTACCAACCGAGTGGCGTGACCATTGACTGCAGACTCCGCGCTACTACAGCCAGCCTCTGCCCCGGTGTCGCGACAACCTGTGGCTGGCTTACAATCGATGTCATTGTCGTGTGCATCGGTGGCACTCGGTGGCCGCAACAGGGCGGTGCATAGCAAACCAGTAGCCAGTGTGAGGCCGGACACAATACGAAGACCATTACGCCAACCCAGATAGAAGCACGCTTGGTTGAGCGAAGCACTCAGGATAAGAAGCCCTGTAATGTGAAATTTTAGAAACACAATCACAGACATCATTGGACGTAACGAAAATCTCATAATATTACTTTGAGGACTTGAGCTTTCAAGTTATTGCTACTAAGGTCACAGGATATAACTCAAGTTAAAATATAAGCTAAATTCTCAATTTAGCTGACAGAAATTAAGCTCTATCGATTGGTGTGATTAAAAAAGACTGTCACAAACTTGCCAGTTAGTTAGCTAGCTATCCTACAAGCTAACTAATCCTACTAACAAACAACTGACGGTTCAGTCGCTCGTGTACGGAGGCTGTACGCAGTTATTTGCGGCCGCATCACGATGGAAAGTAGACTACTGCAAGCAGTTTCGTTGTGGTAAGATAATGATCCCACCAAAATGCCGGATCAAGATCCACCTTTTCCCAATTCAAGTGAGAGAAGATGCGTAGATACACCATGTGGAATTCTTCTATAAGAATGCTCTGTCTTCCACAGGAGAGACCACAAGAGATCCATGAGCATCTTTAGTCGAAACGTCGAGTTTAACTCACCGGTTCTTCTCGTATAGCCACCACTCTTATGGAAGAGATCGATTCCACATGGTGTACCCACATATCTTCTCTCCAATTGTGGAATACGTACCTACTGGTTGGCCAGCTGATGTTAGGGAGGTGGCCCTTACATTGCTCTCTCCTGGGTAGTGGCTGGTAACGAGATTGATGGCCACCGTTATCATGAAGTTACTGCCCGCACCAAACAAAAGCCCATAGGTGATGTATACCACCCAAAGGTAATTGGCAAATGAAGTAGCAATCAAACCAGTAAAAGCCAGTAGAACGCCAATAAGGACAACTCGCTGGTAATCGTATCTGACATAGAGAGCGCTAGGTAGTGGTGCTAAGAAATTCATGGTCGCCCATGCCACGGATCCGACCCAACCTATGGAGGGAAAAATGTTAGATCATAGCAGCATTTTACGCGTCAGTCCTACTTAATTTGTACATGGTTTGAAGGCCTATAACCTCTCAACTCCTATTGAACAAACCCTACGTCAACTTTTTTGAAAGCACATCATGGCAGAGGTTTTCAAAATGTTTCCACGTGAAATATGAAGAAATGAATTTGACATTCCCCATGTATCATGACACTAGCCTTGAAATGATGTCATTACCCGGCCAGCCGTGATGGGTGCTGTTTGAGTTGCACACAGCTCGTGTTTATGGCCTTCAGCATCGAAGGGTATTTCATATGAAATGATCTGTGTTTTGACATGGGCAAATAAGGTATTAAAGCAGTGCATAGACATAACTTTAACCGGGATTGCTTACCTGTTTCGATTGATGAGGCTTGAAAATCTTTCTGAAGATACACGTAAAGGATGACGAAGGAACTGATGTTGCCAAGAGAGAAGAAGAAAATGAAGAAGGATGCGAGCACTGCCAGAGGACCACGCTGCAGACAGCGGGTATAATGCGCGACGGAACGGCCGCGCCATGATCTTGCCGCGAAGCCTTCCCACTACACCGATACTTTGACCATCCGGGGCTTGAATCTATAATGCAATGGCCTGTATGCACACCCAGGCTGGTTAAACGTGTGCATCAGGAAGGACGCTGTAGTCAAAATAACAACGTCTTTACACAGAGAGAAGACAAACTAGAATAGAGCCTGCGCTCTGACCAAGGTCAACACGACTCTGTCCATCCATACCCACGGGTCACCTGGACTTGGTGACTCGATCGTTTGTCGGCATCTCACGGTTCAGTGATTCTATGACGTAAACACACTGCTACAGCCTCCACTAATAAAATTTTTATGAGTTTTATTACTTTATGAGTAAGTTCGAGCGACGACAATAGTTGACTGGAGTTCGACTAACACCGCCCGAACGATGGATGGTTTGGACTTTCTAGTCAAACCATTATTTTGGGGTACATCCGCTGGAAACCAAAATATCGATTTCATTTATCATTACAGAGGGAACCATTCACATGAAAGTAATTGTGCAAGATTTCAGTTATCAAGTACGCCGCAAGAATCGCAGCCAACGGTGAAATGGCAGTAACGATGAGATTTTTAAAAATTACCGACTGGAGTCGTTGAAGTGTAACTGAGTTGCGCATGTGCATTTAAAAAAAAATTGACCACCGGTCGAACTATAGTTCGCGTCTGAACTTTCCCTATGGCGGATTTCGTGAATTGATTAGCAAATTCACTACGATGCGACATGCATTTTGTAGCGATCTGCCACTTATCAATATGGGTCTCCTCAGCGTATATTCCCTCATAAATATTCATAGTTTAAGTGCGCTTCTTTAAATCGTGCATAATAGTTCTGGTTTGTGCTTACTCCTCGTTATATTATACCTCTCTATTGTACAAGTAATTATCGACATTGTCAGGGTTGATTTTGGAGCAATGTTTATGGCCCCTGTAACCAAGCTCAATCTTTATTTCAATATCATGAATATTTAATTGCGTATGGATAGCACTGAGTGTATTCGGATTTTGGCGACACGTGAGTTTCGGTAATTGAAATTTCTGTCGTTGAATCCTGCTCGTGGGACTTCCCCCTTGAAAACAAGCCAGCTTTCTAAGCCGTAAATATCTCATTTAGGTAGTTGATAGCAAGCCAGCTTTGTATCACACTTGGCTTTATTGCATCTTTTGGAGGGAGTTCGTCAAGTTTCTGTGATTGTTATTTAGATGCGTTGTGTATAACAAGTAATGTGTACATACTTATGTGCCTGCACGTCACTAGTGCGCACCCAGCCCAGTCATGTCGATCGACGCAGTGTCGATCAACATTGTCCTGTATTGTATTGCAGGGTGTTTTGTTCTGTAAGCTTTCTACAGTATTCCTTGGTTTTAAGAGATCACTGTCTATTCATGGAATAAACCACGACGATCCGCGCTCAGACACGTCGTGTCCAGCCCACCCTTACCACAAAGTAACACTCTGAAAACAGAGAGACTTGGGCCCCTGTCCCCCTTGTGTGCGCTCCTACCTGGTGTTTCCCTACATTTATATTTCGAAAAAACAACTTTCGTCTGTCTTTCTGGCATTTTTGTGTGAAGGGACATTATCTCCTCTTACTGTCCGATCCGAGCGGAACAAAAGAGGGCGTGTTTTTTAGTACTCATTGCATAGGCGCGCGTTTATGATGGGGATCAAAGGTGCGTTTGACGCGGAGCACGCTGGGTACTCGTAACGATCGGCCGGCTTGTTCTCGTTTGTTCACGAGCAACTCGATTTGTTGTTCGTGGGTCGGCCGCTCGAACGCCGGAAATGTACAACCGGTTATTAGCGCTAGTAGTTATTTGTGCCAAGCAACATGACAGCGTCCTTGTGCATTCTTCGAAAGTTAATGTTGGATAATTAGGCTAACGTCTTTTCCATTAAAAAAAGTCAGTTCTGTCATGGAAAATTATTAATGTTAATTTTGCAAAACTTTCCATTGTCTTTGGCTTTGTAAAGCCATATCGGTACTTTTTGCGGCAGTTCAGAAATCAAATCTCACGAGTTTTTCCGTGTGTTTGTGTAAAATCCTGACGAGGAGGTGGTGTGTGATCCTGTTCCGAGAACAGTGTTCTTGGGTCGTGTTCCCGCCGTTCGAGCGCGTGAAAATGAAACCCGTGTCAGGAACGGACCGCTCAAACTCAAACCTTTGTGCACACGCAGAACGCGTGCAAGGACTCGTTTGGAAAACTTGCTACTATCTGTCTTTCTTTTGCCGCTTGGTGGTGCACTACAAATCAGGGCGGACAGTTGGGGGAAGAAACAATTTTCCCAATGAACTATAACACATGACCGCTCATTATATGAACACGGATGACTAGGAAATGCGGTCGAATTGCTCCAACTTGAAAGACGTTGAGCTTCCGTCGGTCAAAATTTTAAACAGGTATGAATTTCAGTTTTGTGAACGTGGGGGGGTGCACCCACGTATATAGGTCAGAAATATGTCCGCCAAGTTCATTAATAAACGTTATACGCTCAAAATATTCAATATTAGAGAGTACCGAGAGCCATGAAGCTCTGGTCCGCACTTTGGGTTTCTAATGCTGAGCAATTTGGGTGCAATTGGATCCGAATGTGGCAATATTTGGCCGTTTTTCAAAATGGCTACTTTTCTGGGCAGGGACATTTTCTTCATTTTAGGGGTGATGATCGTGGTCTGCTTTGGGTGAGATTTTCTCAATATTTCAGTGGTCACCGCAAAAAAATTGAAAGAAAAATAAAAGATGACAATGTCGAACATCGTTTTTCTGTGCAGCCTGGACACCTGTAAGAGTTGTGAGCATTTTTAATATAATTGTGAAGTATATGGAAGTTATTTGTTGCGGTGCACCTGTAGACCTTCTGATTGAGAGGAAAGAATGTCTTGGAGGTCATCAATTTGGACAAGTGAGTACGTGGCAACATGTACAAGTTAACAACAACGGAGCCGAATCCACAGGGTGACTTGCCAAGAGTAAAGCGGGTCAAATATTGCCAATAATACTTCGCAGAGTTCCTTGTAGTAATCATATCTCGCAAAAGTCGGGGAAAAGAGAAGGAAACGTGAGACATATTTCTCATTCTAAACTTTTAAACTGATTTGAATATTTTTACAACTGGCTTGCTAACACAAATTAACAAAAAATAACACTGATCTCCAAACTAGGCACCCCTGTAATTATATTTGCGTATGTCTACTCTCATTACCCAAAGATGCAACCGTGCCAGCGACTAGTTTTAAAGTGTTCCAGGCAAAAAAGTACCGCAACATTTCAGTTATTGAGATGTTGCGAGATTAACTGAATGTTTACGATTGAATGGCGGCATTGACAAAAACTGACGCTGTCACTGGTCATCTTACAACTGGTTTTGTTTGCAAAGCTATAAATAGAAAGCAAGAATAAACTAGGCAAACTCTAAGTACTTTCCAAGCATAGAGAAAATGAAAGCGTACGGGATATATCGTGCTTCCATAAATTCCCTCTGCTTTTGAAAGCCCTTGTTTTGTCACTCCTCGAGGAATTTGTAAAGCTTGTTGGACTTCAAGGCTAGTGAACAGGTTGCGAAAGAGTAAATGACTTTCTCACTGGTACGTACGGCAAGAAAATCTCAGTTGTGCACAAAAAGTTGCCTAATCCAACCCATTACTTAGTGGAGCTCTAACAGCGGTTCACCCACGGACAGTTAAAGGTTTTTCCCCAATTTGGGGGGAACAGACGTGGGTTACGATTAGTTACACAGTAATCACATTGTTTGTGCTGGCCTTTCACCAATAGAGGGCGCTGCAAAATCTGGGCAACTGTGCGTGTCTGCAGTTTGCCCACAGACGTTACAAACCTATCGTCCTCAACCTGCTCTCATACTTCGCTTGTAGCGCCTGTTCTGTATGCATCTCGCTATGCACTTCAGCATCAGGACCAATACGAAGACGACACAGTAAAACTGTAACACACGGCTGGTTTGGAGAAACGATCCCATGAAAGCTGTAAACGGAACAGTGCGACATGACAATAAAGCTGCCAAAAGTTGCAAGGAAATAATTATTAAACAGTGTTCATGCCGTCGCAGTTATGTCGCTACAAGATTACGGTGTGCTGTATTGATGCAGAGCGGCGTGCAGATTTTAAATTTAAATACCAGCTCTACCCTATTCATGCGACGGCCATTTTTTTTTTATCTTATTCCCCATATCGGTTTTACATATTGAAAACTGTCCATTAAGATAGCACCAAACTGTTTTGTAATGCGTTCCAAGCCTCCCTTTCAATAATTTTCAGAATCTGGCATGATATAATTCTGTGTGTTCGTGATTTTTTAAATTATTCATCAGAGTATACAGGTGTAAATTTTTCGTGAAATTTTATTTGTTGCTTTCATTTGTACTCTCAACATTCAAAAATGAAAAGTTAACATCGCTTTCAAATTCAATATCTCTGGCCCCGTGAATAAAGTCTACAATGGGAGTGTTCACTGCTCTATACTGCGGCCTATTTTTTTCCCCTTTTTTTTACCCATGAAAGCCATTTCACCCATACTGCCAACAATTGACATAATGCGTCTCTTATAACTCTCAAAAACTGCTGTATAGTACTCACCTTGCACGTCCACCAGCGGCCTCATCACTGTGTGGAAAAAAGAACAAGTTCATAAAACACTTCAATCTGAGCATTAACCAACTGTGCCATAGCAAAAGTGTCGGTGGAGGTTTGGTTTCGGAGAATAAGGAAGAACACCTCTGGTTTATGCTCACTCATTGGTTTTTATTTCAGGTGGCCAATGGTGCTGATTGAACCACGCAGTGTCACAAAAAAAAATCGAGTAATTTTGGGGAACATTGCAATCGACATGTGTACCAAAATACCAATTCCCAATAAGCAGGTATAGCACACCAACCGCCAGATCAATTCAATTATCAACAGATATTTTCAGCACCAAATCTAAAACATTTTATTCAACACTGAATTCCTTAAAGCGGTTATATTGGTTTGCGTACCTATTAATCTGACGGTGGCTGTCTGCACACCGTTGGAATAACAGCGATATAATTGCTCATCCCATGCCGTGATGTTGGCGATAAGTAGGCTGCCCTCAAGGTCGTCAATGTGAACGCGCCCTCTCGTGGCGTTCGTTCCCGATTCGGGCTGCTCTGACGTCAGCATGCGGCTGCCATTTTTCCATTCTGTCACAGCATATTCCGAAGCGCTGTTGAGCCATAAAGGTGTACTGCATGTACGTTTGTTGGGACTTTGAAAAACTAATACAGAATATCACATCTTATCGTCACTTCCTTAACTTGTCTTATCAATTTTTGGACAGATTAGTTCTCTTTGAAAATTTTGTAAAACACGCAACTTACCCAGGGCAAACGAGGTTCACATCGCCTCCAATGTATCCAAACACCTTCAACTTCGCTGCAATAAAAAGGCAAATTTCGGATATTAAAACATTACATCAAGGACGGTTTAGATGCTTTATTGATGAATTTAAATCTGGACAATCACCTCTGTCTTTGGATGATTCCCCTCTCGGTCGGGCCCACGGGTTTCTTTGCCCGGGGCGTCTCGCTGCGGCATATCGCTGGACACTGCTGGAGAAGATATCTATTGGATCTGAAAAGGAATCATTCAAGTGTAATTCCTTGAGTGAAATCACCATTAATAATGTCTTCCAAATGTCCTCTTCTGGTGAAAGAAATTTGCGACTGTTCCGACTCTTCGAAGTTACTTCGTCGATCTTAACGTACTTTGTATGCAGGGTTGATTGCACGTGTCTATCATTTTCTCATCCAGCATCGGTGATTTGATGGTCTTCCAATTGAATCGCTCACCCGTCTCGAAGTGGCACGGAACACCGCTTTGGTATTTCAGTACTAGCTCCCCAGTCACCCTTGGAGATTTCGAAAAACAGTGACCTAAACATTTTCAAAACAAAAAGAGAATTGAAGTAACATTATTCAGACCTATTTTGGCGTGACAACCTTTTAAGGAAATATTACTGGATTGAAGTATGTTCCTTCCAAAAGGCATTGTACACTCTGTTGATATCATTTTGACAACCCCTCCCCCACAAAAAGGTGAAGACTCCACTTACAAACAGCAATTCTAAGTATAATAGCCAAATAAAATATGAATCATATAGCCAAGAAACTACTTAACAACTTCTACTTAACTTGACTGCATTATTTACCGATACGGATGCGTGTGCCTGGCTCACCACACTTGCTACATGGCCCCCATTCCATCCACAATGTATAAACCATGTCTCTCTTGCCGTATGGTTTTTGGTTCTTAGTTAGATCCACCACGTGCATCTTGCTAGGACGTTGCACTACAACAACTTTATGAATACTGTAAGGTCTGTCGGGAAGCACGAGACATATTGTTAGGGCAAACTTCAAAGCTAGTGTGAAAACGATTATCTCGAGTATGCTCTTGAGTTCAAAATGCCAGGATTTAACCTTGTCAGACAAACGTGTCATATCAATATTTTAAGCCATTATGAGGGCGAAGCGATCTACTGATCAATGTCCATTGCCAGTTTAAAATGGAAGGTGCCCAACTTTGGATTGTCCTTGCTTGCGACTTGTGAGAGTTGCCATTGTTGAGTTACCATTGTAGCGATCTGGACTTTGAATGATTTCACTAACTACTTACTCTTCTTTCTTCATGCAGATGTATCGGTCTTCGTCGCTACGTTCAGCTCGACGAATCTCCATGGACATATCATGGTTCAATGCATATTTGTTCTCGTCATCGTTGTCATGCCAACTGAACTCCACCGAGAGGTCAAGTCGCCGGCTTTTTATTCGATGCCACTTCACACCACCATAGAGCTCATTACTGCAAGAAATACAAACTACACGTATATGAACGAGGCAAAAGTGCAGAGGATAAAAGGTGGTATGCTATTCCATGTCAGTACCTATTTAGATATAAGACAAAGAACTGGTTGGACCAAACTGAAACCATTCCGGTCCTAACTGAACTTCAGTCGAAAACGATCGTTACGTTTAGTGAAAATGCACTGGCAACAGCCCTCAGATATTAATTTACAAACCAGACTAACAAGAGAAATATCAAAGAAAGAAAAGAAAAAAAAAGAAAATGAAAAGAATTACGATATTACCAAGGATGGCATTTCATCCTGAGCGTATCTCCCTCATACACAACCACGAACTTCCGGAATTTTTTCAGAAACTCTAGTGCGCACGTAAATGCTGTCGAACAACAAGATGAATACTTACAACTTGCAAATCTTAAAAATTTAGTTGTTATTGCACTCTCCTTAACTTTGGTTCAAAGAATTCACGAACAACATGTAACTGAATACCTTAATTCTCGCTTCGAATCTCCAACCCATTCATTTGGCACTCAATCGCTGTCAAATGGCTGATTATGCATGCCTTATCATCCTGAAACTAATGCAGGCAAAGGCACATTCCAATATTCAGGGACCTTGGGGTGGAACAAGTTGACTACCTCTTAGAGACAGGTGGAGTTCCCTCTGTAGACTCAAAAGTCTCCTAGGACTTTTATTTAACATTTAACTTTTATGTTACCTTTTACCTTAATTTAATCACTGCCACACAATTTTAAGTTGTGGATTATAGCTATATTACCTCATTTAACTCCAGTTGACTTTATTTACACTTTTATTATAACACATACAGTACGCATATTCCTCTTGCTTCCATATTTTACTTCATTTTCGATTAACTGTGTGTTATGTTTTCATTATTAATTTTGCCATCATCATTACTGAAGTTTTGTTCAAAATTAATTTACTGTCACTCTTGTCTGGTTCTTAATTATATGTTTTATTTTTTATTATTATTCTAAGTACTACTTGTTATTTCTATAATCTTTCATATTGTATCTAATTTTATATAGAAATCCTATGCTGTTCGACTGCTGTTCAGTTTCTGTTTTATCTTTCTCTTTTATTAACCTAATCTGTTTTAAATTGTTTTAAATTCAGTTCTATTGATTTTTTTCTAAGTTTTATCAGGGCTCTTAATGATAGCTGTTTTTAACTGACAAGGCTACCCTGCTGAAATAAAACAGAATTATTAACTGTTTATATTCTGACGGGTATACTTACGAAAATGGAGGGGCTTCACCATCTTGTGACGAGCTTCCTTGTCGGCTTTGGGGAAAATGAAAGATTATGACGGAGTAATATAGCTTCAGAAGAGGTACACTGTAAACAGTGAATGTTTAATTTGAATGATTAATATTAGTCCTTTTTGGGGGGGGGTTGACTCAAGCCCTGCCCCAGGGAAGGCTAATCGTCTCTCTTCCTAAACAAACCTTCTCTGCAAGATATCCTACACCGCTGGATGATCTTTTCGTCTCTGAGGTCTATTCCGACAATCGACAGTGTCTTCCAGATAAGGTGATTCTTAAAGGGGAAGTTACACGGTATCCCGTTGTGATACTGCTCTAACGGACTTCTTCCTGTGCTATAACAAAAGCCTGTTAGGAAACACGGGGCAAATGTAGTGTTAAAGAAAAGTTCAGGGCAGCGGCCGTCTGGTCCAGAGACCTGTCCACTGACCCTCAGTAACCAACTCAAGTGCCTTATCTATCTGTGGCGGAGATCTAGAACTGTCACTTGACATCCATCACATTATAATTACAGGCAAGATGTCAAAATCTTGTAGTATTTCAAGGGATGATGCTGTCTTGGAAGTGGAAAGACATCATCCGCAGCAGTGTTGTATTCGAGTCTATCACAAGTCACTGCAAGTCCCCGTAAGGCCATCACAAGTCATCCAGTTTTAAGGCAATTCACAAGCTATTTAAATATGCTGTGACAAAACATTCCTTTGTCATTGTTCACCCTGTTACTTATTACTGGCCTTGTGAAGGGACTTGTGCCTGGACTTGTGAAAAAATCTTATGAAGGACTTGAACATACAACGCTGATATGATCCTCAGATATAGCAGGATGAGAACATCTTGAAAATAAGATGTCGACAACCTGATACAATTATAACTTATCAAAGGATGATGACATCATGGGTGTAAGATGTCGACAACCCAATAATTCCAACCTAATTCTAGAATACAGTCATCTCATAATTATCTTATAGGCTGTCGCCATCTCATTTTCAGGACGTCGTCCTTCCGCGATAAATAACCCCAGAAATTCGACTCCCTATTTCAAGATGTTGTCGTCAGTGTCGTAGTCGAGACCATCACAAAAACAGACACAAGGCCATGC